GGGGGGTGGGGGGGGATGATGGTTTCAGCGCCGCCAGCCCTGTTTTTATCTAATGTTTAGTGTCTAAGGTGCGGTGTGAGGGTAGGGTACGTGGACGTGGTGCGGGACGGGGATGGGGTTGTCGTCCGTGTACAAATGTGTGTGTGTGTTGTGTGCGTACGTGCTGTGTGCGTGCGTGCGTGCACGCTGGGGCAATTGGCGGTGGGCGGTGGGCGTAGATGAGATGGGATGCATGCATGCATGCAGGGGAAAGGGAGGGGCCTGGGGGACAGGGACAGGGACGGGGTGTGCGCTAGGCTTGGGCGGGGGTTAAAGACAGGACGGGACAGGACAAGATAGCAGGACAGGACAGGACTTTGTTGCATAGTTAGGTGGGAGGTCCTGGAAGAGAGACGAGAGAGACGGGAGGGATGGGAGGGACGGGATTGTGGTTGTGGTCGTTTGGGGGCGGCGGCACGGCACGCCGCGCCGCGCTACGGTACGGGTACGCTCATTTCATTTCATTTCACATCATCTCTTGGGGTAGGCGGTGGGCGGTGGGCGGCGGAAAGTGAGGCGTCAGGCGTGAGGCGTGAGGCGTGAGGCGTTCAGGCGGTGGCGGTTTGGCGGATGAGTCGGATAGACACGAGGCAGAGAGAGTCAGGCCTGGTGTGTATGTATGTATTGTAATAGGTACAATATGGTAGGGTAGGGTAGGGTAAGGTAGAGCAGGCAGGCAGGCATTGCATTTGCATTGTACAATAGGAGCAGGCAAGTACGTAGTCAACGAGCGGGCGTTTGAGATTGATGAGAGGTTTTGGCGCGGGAGAGTAGAGGACGTTGTTATATTGTAGCCACAGCATACCTAGCACGCCAGGGCACCGGTTTCGGCGTCGGCTTCGGCTTACGAAAGTATGTATGTACCGTGGTATGTGCATGCATTCATCCCCCCTTGGAAAGTTGGGGCTGGGTTTGGGGAATTGCTTTTTCGAGCCGCTCCACTATTTGTAGAGGACTGACTTGGGGTGCGCGTGCCCTGGGCCTGAAGACTGACTGCCTGACTCTGACTCTGCGCGCTCGTCGTCTACCTAGGTAGGCATGTGTGAGTATGACGTACATGCCTCGATTACCTACCTACGTCGTCGTCGGTCTCCGGGCAGTCCCCGCGAATCCTGCCCTTCCATAGCGCGCGCCCCTCACGAACGCCTCACGCCGCCTCAATCCTACCCGTCAGCTATCGGCTGGCGCTACTCGCTACTCTACTCTACTCGCTACGCTACTCGCTATTCGCTACAGTCCTCGCTACTCGCTCGCTCGCTCGCTCGCTCCCGCGGCCGTGCGTGCGCCGCCGTTTCTGGTCGTGGTGGTGGTGGTGGTGTGTGCGCGGCTGTGTCCGTATTGTACAAATGTTTGTAGAAGGCGGCGCTTGGGCTTGGTGGTGGTGTGTGCGTGCGTGCGTGCGTTTGTTGACTTGCTGCGGTGGTGTGTCTGTGTCTGTGGTTTTGGAGGGCTTGTTCGTACGGTGTGGTGCAGAGGAGCAGACCATACTTAGACGCGCGATCTATTGTGCTTGCTTGCGCTTCTGTCCACCAATGGACGAAGCAAACGCAACCTATGTACCTTTTCCTCCCGCACCTCACCTTCACCATCACCATCACCATCCCCATCATCACCCTCAACCGTCCGGCAATCCCCTCCACCAACCGTGGCTGTGCAGCGCAAAGCACCGGCCTCATACCGCCGCGCACAAGCGCGTTTCAGCTCAGACTTGCAGCTCCACATGCCTGAGTCGCGGGTGCGCGGGACGCTGATTCGTGAGCCGTCTCGCGAGTCGCCAGTAGCGTAGGTAGGCAGCCGACACGTCACGGCTTGCGGCGACGGGCGACTAACGATGGGCGGCGGAGGTGCGCGTGGTGGTGCTGCTGGTGGCCATGGCCCGCGGGGAGTGGGGTAGCTGGTAGGCTGTGGGCAGTTTTTTTTGCTTTGCTTGACTAGGTATATGTAGAGGGAGGGGTCGTGGCGTGTGTGCGTGTGCGTCTGCTTCCTCTTCTTCGTTCTTTCTCTCATACTACGAAGTACGTACACGCTTCTGAGAGGGCCAATTGCACCGTCTTGAGCCATTGAGCTATCCATCGACACGCACAACCACACCCGCACACGCAACCACACAAACAAACAAGCAAACACGCCATGGACTTCATCCACAAGTTCAAGCACGAGGACGGCAGCGACGCCCCCGCCGAGCAGCACGAACAACAGCAGCACATCGACGCCGCGACGACGCACCCCGCCGCCGCCGAGCCCGCCGAGCACGAGCAGCACTCGGGCTTCCTCGACAAGATCACCACGGCCATTGCCGGCCGCGGCGAAAAGGACCCCCAGGCCGAGATCGAGGCCCAGCGCCGTTACGACGCCGCGCAGTACCACCCTGCTGCGGCGGGCGAGGGGGGCAGCGGCAGCTCGGAGCAGCAGCACAAGGAGGGCGGAGGGTTTTTGAGCAACCTGATGGGCGGCGGCAAGAAGGATGAAGGCGAAGACAACGACGGACAGCAGCAGCACGGCTCGGCCGAAGCGGAAAACGCAAAATTCCACGCCGAGGGCGAGCACACGAAGGCGTCGTTCCTGGACCGCATCACGGGCAAAGAGGAGCGCGAGCGCGAGCGCCAAGAGCGCGAGGAGGCGGAGCGCAAGGCGCATGAAGAGGAGCTCGCCAACCGCGACTTCAAGACCAAGCTGATGGACAAGGTGACGGGGCGGGAGAAGGAGGAGGAGGCGCGCTGGCAGCGCCAGCAGGAGGAGAAGAACAAATCCGTCTTTCAGAAGTGGTCGGATCGGCTGAACGAGGCGGCGGGCGGGGGGCCCGAGGCGGAGAAGACGGAGGATTTGCTGGATAAGGGTGAGTTTTGCGCGCGCTTCTTTTCCTTGTTGTCAGTCTTCGCGTCACTCTTCTGGTACACCCCTCCCCGCCGCCGGAGACGTTCGCGCTGTAATGGCGGCGGCGGTGCCGGTGCTGGGAAGGGGGTAGGCAGCACCGTCGCGGCAGCAGTGGCGACGGGCACAGCGAGCGCGGCCACGGCCGTCGTCTTCGTTGTCGCGTTCGCTGCCGTGGCTGCCCTCGTCCCTTTCGTCCTCATCTTTACGCGTCGTCGCACCAGCACCAGCACCAGCATCAAACGCAGCATCAACACTAGCACAACACCCCCCTCGCACTCGCCTCGCCTTCATCTTTCCCCTTCTCCTTCTCCCTCTCCCTCTCCCTCTCCTTCCCTATCTCCTTACTCTACCTCCACACGTACCCGCGCCCGCCCTCCCCGTCCCCCGCACTTCCGCCTCACGACCCCTGCTACTACGACGACGAAACTGTGTTTTTAACCGCCCTCATTACCCCCCACACTAACACGCCCGCAGCAATCGACGCCTACCAAGAGCACGTCATGCACGAAGGGCCGCAGGACAACGAGTCGGCCATCGAGCAGGCCAAGGACGAGTTCATCTCGGACTATATCCGCCGCATGTACAAGGCCAAGACGGGGCACGAGTTTCCAATTCATGATAAATGAGCGAGCGCAGCGAAGCGAGCTTAGCGTAGCGTAGCGTAGCGGGACGGGGCGAGGCGGGGGAGAGCGGAAAGGGAAAGGGAGGGTGAGGTATAGTGTTAAAAACAAAGAGATCAATACAAACACAACTCCAACCCCAAAAACCAGCAATAGCAACCAACCCCAGCCAGCAGGGAACGGGGCGGAACCAAGCAACCAACCAACCAACCACGCCTCGGCACTGCACTGCACTGCACTGCGTACTGCAGCGCGCTCACCCACCCACCCACCTACTTACTTACTTTTACGCACCTACTTACTTACCCACTTCCCTACCTACCTACCTACCCACTCAAACAACCAGCCAGCCAGCCACGTACCTAGGTAGCTACTTTGAACCTCGGTCCGTCTAGACCACGCACACACGCACGCATTAGCCAACAAAACAGCGCAGCGTGCCTTAAGCAGACACAGTAGCGTGCCTAGGCCAGCAACCCCGCTCGCCGAGCCAACCTCCTAAAAGCCACGACGCGACGGCTTGTCGGCCGAGCCTAGATACGCGTTACGACATGCAGCACGCGACGCGTGCGTCTAGGCCGGGCGGGCATGGGTGCGTCGGCGGTGTGTGTGCGTGCGCTGCCTACGTGGGCGGGGTAGTGGTGGAGCGAGAGAGGGAGGGAGGTAGGTAGGTAGGTAGGTTGTTAGTTGCTGGGTTGACAGTGCCATGCCGTGCTGTGCGGCGTGGGATAGGAGGGTATAGGGCAGGGCAGGGTAGACAATAGTAGTCATATCTGCGCGCGAGGGCGAGGAGCGAGCGAGCGTGCCGACACCTTCGAGGTTAGTTTCGCGGATAAATAGAGGTGCAGTGTAGAATGACTACGAGTAGGATTCTTCTACTTCATAAAGGCACTCTGATATTCACCCCCTCACCCCCAACTAAAAGCCCGCTTGACTTAAACCCACACATACTCGACCTCGCACGGCCCGTCCGCCTTCTCACCCTCTCCATTACCACCAGAACCAGCTCCCGCCTGCATGCCTGCATTAGCCGTCATGTCATCAGTCACTCGCTCGCAAAAAAAGGACAATAAAGAAAAAGCAGGGGGTGGGGGTGGGGTTGGGAGGGTAGGGATTTGAAAGGTGTTGGGGGTTTACGCACCAGACCAAGGCCAAGAGCCAGGGGTCGACTCGGCAGCGGGGGTAGACTCAGCAGCAGCAGCGGCAGTGGACTCGACAGCCTCAGCAGCAGCGGTAGCGGTGGCGGAAGCGCGCACCTGCGTCTGCAGGGTGGTGTGCGACTGGGCCTCAGCGATCTGGGCAGTAGACTGCACGGCGGCGACGTCAGCGGTGGCGGAAGTGGCGTCCTCCACGGCGGCGGCGGCGGCGGAAGTAGCCTTTACGGCAGCGGCGGCGGAGGAGGTAGCCTTCACGGCAGCGGCGGCAGCAGAAGAAGAAGAGCCAGAGGCGGAAGCAGCAGTAGAAGAGCCCGCAGAGCCCGACGCAGCCATGCAAGCGAACGACATTTTCTTGGTCGTCTTGGCGGCACCATAGCCAACCGGGGTGCTCAGATCCCAGTCCATAGCGACATAAGGCCAGCAAATCCTGCCGTCGGACATCGTGACCATGTCACCAGCGACATAGGTATCGGTGCTCTTGAGCGCCTCGCCCTGCTTCGTGCCGTCCTTGCCGTAGAGCTGGAAGAAGGAGCCGACGAACTCGCCGGCGCAGCCCATGGCGATGTTGTCGCACTGAGGGTTGGCCGCCTCCTCCCAGGTGACGAGGGCCGTGGAAGCGTCGAACGCGGCCGCGTGGGCGTTGCTGCAGTCGTTGGAGCCCGAGGTGACCCAGTTGATTTGGGAGTCGCCGTCCTTGGTGCCGACGACGGAGGAGGCCTGCTCGCCGATCAGCGTCGCCTTGTCGCTCATGACGGCGACAGCGACGTTGCGGTTGTTGGTGCGGTTGAGCGAGCTGACGAAGCCGTCGCCCATCCACTCGTTGGCGTACAGGTCCGTCGCGCCGCGCGACACCCACGAGAAAATGTAGTTGGTGCTCTCGCCGAAGCGGGCCAGGTTGCTGTACGAGCCCGACATGCCGCCCATGGCCTCGTTGCTGGCGCCGTTGGTCGTGTTCTCGTTGGAGATCTTGACGCCGTCGGCGCTCATGCCCTGCGTCTTGGTGTTGAGCCAGATGTCGCCCTGGTCCTCGGCGCAGATGGACGCGAACGGCGCCTCGTCGGCCGCCTCAAACGCAATGCCCGTGTTGTGGCTGCAGCCCCACGAGCTCGACGCGCCCGCGATCGTCTTCAGCGTCCCGTCCTCCTGCACGTACTGGATGCTGTCGCCAAAGTGGCCCGACGCGTCGCCAGAGTAGTCCGTCACGACGAAGTAGGCGCCGTACATGCCCGCCTTGCTGGAGTAGACCAGGTCGCCATTCAGGTCGGGCGAGGCGGACAAGCCATCGTCCGCGTGGACGCCCGGCCCGCCCAGCCACGTCTTCCACGTCTGCTTGCCGCTCGTGTAGCGGTACATGACGGGGACGGGCGTGCTGTCGGCGGGGGCGTTGCTCGTGCCCGACGGCATGGCCTCGTTGGTCAGGAGGGCGAAGCCGTCGTTGTGGGCGACGAGACCACCGGCCTCCTTACCGCCGGAGACGGTGACGGTGGTGCCAGTGGCAGTGAAGGTCGAGGGGTCGACCTGCTGGATGTGCACGTCCGTCTCGCTGCTGTCCAGGTAGGCAATGTACGCCGACTTGCCATCGGGAGAGACCTAAAGAAATCAGCTAGAGCGTTACACAAACACAGTGATCAACGTACGGCAAAAGGAGTCCTCCTGTGGTGAGGCAGGCCGGTCCAGTAAGCCTCCTTGACGGGGTTGAACTCGAAATCGAGCTCGAGAGAGTCGACCTTCTTCGCCAGCGAATCGTCGGTCAGGGCAGCAGTGGCAGACTGCGCAGCAGCCAGAGCCAAAATGGCAAGAGAAGCAGGGGCCAGCATGCTGGGCAGTATAAAAGAATGACAGATATAAAAAGAGTGAAAGTATAACCGAACTAAAGGCGGGTGAAGAGCAAAAACCGAACGGGCGGCACCTGGGGTATATACTACATAGTTTAGTCATCGAACGAATACGAACAGGGCAATTTGCAGCCCCCGCGATGCAGGACTCTGGGCATGTTTGGTGTTTATGGGGCGGGAGCCGCATCGGGAGCTTGGCCCGACGTCCATGTTCGCTTGAAACGGGTGATGCACGTTTCACGGGCAATTTGCACGGCGGGCCTTGTGGCGTGTCCGCGCTGCCGTCGGTCTAGAACACTAGAGGAGCTTCCGTTACGGAAAGACGGCAGAGAGAGAGAGAGTGAGGGAGTGCAGAGTGCATCGCGGGATCGGGATGCAGCGGCAGCGGCAGCGGGTCTTTGGGACGTCGGGACGGCGGCGGCTACTCCAAACAACCATGAAGTGGAGGGCCTGACGCAGCGGCAGCGGCCAGACGTTCAACGTTTTATGTTTCTCAGCCCATGTTCATGCTGGGGAATGACGGTGTTGAAGCGGCGTGATGCTACAAGTCTAACCGTCAATAATGCCATGTTTCTGGAATAGGCAGTCCTGGACGACCGACGGGAAGTCCCGGCGCGGATTTAAGCTAGCTAACTTACCTACCTACTCATTTTACCTCCTTGTCAGCGATCCCGCGATTCGATACGCGACCAGGCTGACCCCTCACCCCCCTTAACCATGTCGTTCCAGCGGGTGACGAGAGGATGCGCTGAGAAGCGGGCGCCAGTGCGGCGAGGCTTGCCTCTGTTGGTGCTAGCCACGGCGACTATGCGACGGAAGGAAGGGAAAAAACCCCCTCCTGAGATGAGGGAGAGAGCTCGATAAACGAGATGCAATCGCGACATCGGCTGTGAACTCTGGAACTCTGGAACTCTGGAACTCTGTCCGGAATCAGCAGTTGCTCCGCTCCGACAATGGACGACGGCCCCCGACCCCCTCCTTCACCACCACCACCAGGATCCCTACACTCGGACAATGTCTCCGCCCCACGCGCACCCGCGAAGACGCCCGTCTATGCACCCTACACCTGGCGCCGCTACATCCACGTCCTGCTGCCCCTGGCCGCCTATGCCTACAGCGTGTACATCACGCAGTCTACCTGGCTCCTAGCCGTCCCGGGCGGCTTCCCATTCGCCGTGGCCATCACCGCCGGCGTGACCGGCCTCGGCTTCGTGGTGTCTGTGCCGTTGTACCCGGCGCGCAACCGGCCGGCCTCGTTCCCCGAGCTCGAAATCCCCTGGTCGCGCCGCTCCAAGCTGCGCGCCTTCGCCGTGAATGCGCTACACGACTTTCACTGGCATGGCGGCTTGTCGCTGGGCTCAGTGCTTAACTTCGGTGTCGCCTGGGCCGTTGTCGGCGTCCTGGGCATCGACGACGCCGCAAAGTACAAGAGCGCAAAGGCGCTGTGGGTGGCGCGGCTGAAGCGCATCGCGCTGTACGGCGCCGCGTGGTTCGGCACCAACTACTACATACACGTACCGTACGTGAGCGCGCTGTGCAACTACCTCTTCAGCGTGCAGCTGCGGCTCATCTTCGTCACTTTCTGCGACATGATGCTCGCGCACCTGCTGTATCCACCGCTCGGCCTCCTCGGTCGCCTGCGTACGCTGCTCTACCTTCTCTTTTCTGCCGCCATCGGCTTCACAATGCTGTACACGACGCCGCTGCTCGACCCATGGTACCCGAACGTGACGAGCAGCAACCTAGGCCTGGACATCGTCCCGGCCAACAGCACATGCCCGGTAGCGGCGCAGGCACTGCTCTACCAGCACGCGTGCTTCGCGCAGATCGAGCTCACCGACCCCTTCGCGCTGCACAAGCAGGCCGCGTGCCGCAACTGGTACCTGATGGGACGCGAGCGCGCCGAAGTCGACGCCGAGCTGGTGCGCAACGCCGATGCCGTGGCCGCTTTTTGCTCCGATACCGATACCATGCTCTTGACCGTCTCGGCGTGTATCGCGCTCAAGACGTATGGCGAGCGCTTTGAGCCCTTCGGTCGCGCCTTCGACCTCTCGCCCTCGGGTGTCGGGCCTGACGGTGCGTGGCGCCGTGTTGTGGACCGTGATGTGCTGTGGTGGTGCATGCTGCGGTTCGAGGAGGAGACGCTGGAAGCGATGGGATGGGCGCCGCCGCCTGAGGTGAAGAATCGTCTGTGGTCGACATTTGACGGGTGGCGATAGCAGAACAGTTGTTTGGTTGTCGTGGTGCATGTGCGCGCTTGTGTCGCTGCCTACCTAGGTAGGTAGGTAGGTGTGGCCCCGAGCTCCCTCGCGCCTGCCTGTTTACTTTAAGCCACAACACACAACACTCTCTTGCCAACGCACCACTCACCCCAGCATCACACACCCTTGCGTTTCTGTGCTAATACGATACCACTAACACCATCCCCGGTGCATATAACTACCCTAACACAACAGCAGACACCACACACCTAATTGCCTAATTACATGTAACAATATATAGACAGCTGCGTTTTGAAATCTAGATGGACTTGAGGAGGGATTATGTGTGGTTGGTGATGTTTGTGTGGTGTACTGGACTGTAGTGTGCTGGCTATGCCTTACCTTACCGTACCTTACGGCTTTGGCGGCGCGTTGGCGGCGCGTTAGTGTTTGCGGTTGTGTAAACATCACCCTAACTTCCTGCTTTGGTGGAGAGAACGTAGACGTTCGACCTTGGACTTAGAGTGCCGTCTTGGGTGTGCGTGGGGATAACTTCACTTTGCTTGCTGATCCTGCTTGGGAGAACCTAGACGTTCGAGGTTGGACTTGGTGCGACGTTTTGGGTGTGGGTGTAGAGAGAGGAGTGAAAGAAGGATTTTGCTTTAGGTGCTGGTTCTGCTGGGGAGTGCTTAGACGTTCGATGGCGGACTTAGCGTGCCGTTTTAGGCATATACTGGAGCTTTTAGTATTTGCGCGTTAAAGTGAAGCGAAGTAAGATGGATGCTCTTTAGTTACTCGTTACCATTTTACTGCGTAGATAGATGGCTTGCCAGGCAGCAAAAATTTTGTATGGTATTAGAATGTTAGCCGGTCATGGTCTGTAGATGTGACGAAGAAAATTGTTCTATACGTTCTATATACATCTATGTTGATCGCCTTAGGTATATTCTAGGACCGTCCTACTAAAAGCGAAGTCACACCGCCGCTCTTAGCTTTCCATAAGCTCACTCAACGCTCCGTGACCGTGTGCTGAGAAGTGCTAGTTTCTCAGCATCGGCGGAGCGTGCGGAACAACAAAGTCCTGCTTTTCAGGGTAAAGGAGGGTTACCATATTATGGACATAATCGCCGCAGTTAGCGGTGAATAGGTTGTAGTACATTCCATCACCGCCGCTTTCAAAGTACTTCTCACCTTTGATAAAGGATTAGTCCGTGGAGCTCAATTTTACAGTGTGGGAGGCTGTGGAGGACTCTGGAGCCTTGGGGGCGGGTGGCTGAGTCAATCAGCTAGAGGGCATTTATAAAGAATTTCGAAACTGTAAATCACAACCGATAGTAAATCATCACCGGTATCTCGTATTGCAGAAATGGGTCAACACCCAAGCCTCCAACGCTTCAATCCAAAAGAAGTCTTTGCCTCTCCAGAAGAAGTCCGTGCGCGCCTCCTCGACCACCTGTATCAAAGATCCGATGCTCACCGTCGCCTCTCCCTCCGCGACTTATTTCAAGAACAATGTTCGCAGGAAGGCATTAAGTCCAACAGCGACATCAAAGTCACACCTGCAGTATGGACACCGGCCACTTTCGCCTCCACGCTTGCAAAGTACGATCCGTCGCTCGTCGACGCCTTCAACGACGCCGCGCCATTACTTTATAAATTGACCCTGCGGCACGGGGCCTATCCCTTCCGGCATACAGAAGGCACCCAGAAAGAGCTGACACTCGTCACATTCATTACTGCTCTGGCCATGCTATCACATCCCGCCGAGCACCTGGCCGACCGCTGCTCAATCTGCCCACGCAGAGAAATCTGGACGCCCGACGACCGTATCCGCCTCTATTTTCAAAGTATCGCCACAGTTCCCACGGATCAGTGTGCTGTTACTGCTCCTGATGATGGAGTCCTCGTAGTCGACGATGACAAAGATCTCCTAGACGTCATGGAAAACACAATGCCACCCGAAGAGAAGGTTCGGTACCTCCGCACCACCTTCAAAGGCGCCGCGGCGCTGCTTCCGCCCTCGGGCGCGGCGGACCAGCTCAACGACGCCGTTGTGGCGCCGCGCGATGTGCGCGCACTAATTGGCTTGATGGTCGCACTGGCGATGCGGGGCATGGGCTTTGGTGTCTCCTCGGCTTCGCTGACCTGGCATGAATACACGGCCGAGGTGACTGAGTGCATCTGCCGCTCATTTCTCTCGAGAGTGGATGATGAGACCGGAATTACTTGGCCAGCCTTCAGGTCTACTATCCGGGACCATATGGTAGGCTGTAGCAGTAACCATATCGTTCATAGAAGCTTACACTAACTCCATCAGCCCTGCCTCCTTGACCCTCTCCGCGATTACATCGGCGACCGCTTTGGCTTGCGCGGCTATGGCCGCCGCTACATTCATCCAGATAACCTCCCCGTAAGTAATCACTGACCCCACTTTCAACGAATCAACTACCTATCAATCAACTAACGTCCCAACCTACCCAACCAGCCCTTCCGCGCCCTCGTATCCTCCTCCAAGATCCTCTCCCCGCCGCAAACAGTCCAGCTACTCGCGCTATTACACGTCCCACATCCCGCAGTCTTCGGCTCGCGAGTATACGCTCATGTTCCGCGCACCGAGGCACAAACACAGGCACAAGCGCTCTCACGCCTCCTCCAAGACAAGACCGATCGTCTCGTCCTGCTCTCAGCAGCAGAAGTAGACGCAGACGCAACCGCGCAACACACGTTCGCCATCTACCTCTGCAGCAAAGCCAGCACCAGCACCAGCACCAGTAAATACAGCTCGCTCCCGCAATTATGCTCGCTCTCGTTCTCGCTCGCGCCACGCCAGCGCGTCCTCTTCTCCTCCTCTGACGATGGCTCAGGCAGTTTTGACAGAAACGGTAGACATGAAGGCAGTGAGATTGCGGAAGTAGAGACAAGTGGGGAGGGCTCTTGTAAAGGAGCAGAACAAACGGAAGAAATAGGAGGAAGCAACGGAGCAGGCGACAGAAGAAATAACGCCGTCGCCTTAACCGAAAGTGGAGAGTTGCGTATTGCGCACGGGTCAGGGTCATGGGTGTTCAGGCCGGATATGGCGCGTGTCAGGCTTGCTTATCCTCTTCCTCTAAAGAAGCAGACGGGACACAAGAACTCTATTGGAAAAGAAGAGAAAGAGTATACTGTGAGCGCGGTGGAGGTGTGGGAGACTTGAGTTGTATGTATATATGTGGATATGTAAGCGCACAGGGAAGGGGCTTAAGCACTTTGGCGGATAGATTGCTGATATTTGCGTCGATTTGATGTGTTATGCCCAGAGGGTGATTGAGCAGAGCTTACGTTTCACTTTATCTTTAAATATATAAGAAGAATTACACGAAAGTTCATAGCAATTACCTTCACTACCCAAGATTTTCCAGCGCGATACGTCCTAGCCATCCACTCCCACGGAAACCGTTTACGATAACGTCCACGCAGGCAATCACACCCGACCTACCCGGCGAACCCTTTCCTCCCCTAACCTCACTTCCCTTGCCCTCAGCCTCACCTACGACATGAGTGGCACATAGGCGTCCGACCTTAGGGTCTTGAGTTGCCTTTTGAAGCAAGCGTCTTCTCAAAAGGATCTAGACGTTCGACCTTGGCCGTTGCCAAGAGTTGCCTTTTTGGGCTGTTGGTTCGTGAGCTGTATTTTGAGTTAGTGGTTTTTTTTTTAGTCGCTAAGGTATTGGACTTTGGGGAGCTGGGGTTAGGTAGTTGGTTTTTTTGCTGTGGCTTGATGGGGCTTGGCTGTTGTTGTTAGGCCTGTTGTCACTGTCTGTACGGGAGGCTTCGTTTCCTGCTTACTGTTTTTTTGTCGCTTGCTATATTAGAGGTGATGTCGTAAGTCCTGGGGTACCGTACGTAGTTAGGAAGCAGTGTTTGTTATGAACGGGCTAGAGAGACATGCGCATAATTCCAATTATGATGCTAGGGTCGCATTTTTGCAGGAAGAAAAACAAATACAAGTCGCCTATCAGCGACATGTTATTTAGCAAGCCACCCCCACGCGCTTTAACAGACAGGAGACAGAATTTCGAACCTTGTATAGCTCTTTTACTCTCAGTCGAAGTCAAAACAGCAAAATATATACCATTAATAACACCGAGTCTTCCCAGCGAAAAGACAAAAATTCAAGCCCGGAGGTTCTATAAATTCGATAGCAAGATTCTTAGGCGTGCTAAATTGTTATAACAGCACCGTAGACCGAACACTGAAACTCCAAGTTGTGGCACCCAAAGCCAGGCTACGTGGTACCTTTATGAATGGCCACTAAACCGCTTGATACTGTAACTCGTTCTCACTAAGTAATCCGGCGATCGAGTTTGTAAAAATAGCTTTTTGGATTTAGTATTTGGATTCCTTGAGAGCTGTCATTCGCGTCTATTTGCTGCGAGTCTGCTCGCGTGAAGTCAAGCCTGCAGAGAATGGAGGCAGGCTGGAGCACGGCAATATCTTGTCACACACACAATTATTGCCGTATATATTTCCTTTCTTCTTTAACCTCCGGCCCACTCCAACAATACACTGTAGCAATGCAGAAATAACAGAATAATCTAGTTAGTCCATGAACACGATAAAGTAATTGTTCCGGGTAGTTCTATGGTGGCGCGTGAGTAAGCGGTTTGGTTGCCGGGTAAGTCTACCGTGGTCTGCGGCACCACACTACAAGCCTGTCAAAGACTACTTGCTACACTACCTGACTAAAGACGCTGCGCCATGTCGATCGATTTCTTCGAAAAGCGTACCAAGCTTTTCGGCATGCAAGCAGTCAGCAGCATGTGAAAAGAGTCACACCCGCAATTAGCCTATTTAAACGCTCCGCATTACCTAATCCTCACTATAAACATCACATCGAAGTGCGCTTCTGGCATTTGTTCCCTAGGAAAGACGCAGGCACATAGAGGAAAACACTTATTCTTTGTGCAACAGAATCATACTGTAAGCAAGCAAGCCAAAGCCAACGACAAAAAGATACACGAACAACACTGACCTACAAACATCCAGAATCGAACACCTCCCTCTACGCCATTACCAAAACCACCACCCCAGAAATGGCGCTATCCGCAACCGCCCTCCAAGAGATCCGCGACGTCCTCGTCACCATAGCCAAAGAAAGCGGCCAAATCATCCTCTCCGCGCACCCCAACACCACAGACACCACGACCAAAAAGAACAGTACAGACACCCCTCCCCTCAGGCTCTCCCCAACCAACGCCCAGCCCAGCCCACTAACCCCGCTCCCACAGCCACAGACATAGCCACCGCGACCGACCTAGCCGTCGAGACGCACATCCGCGGACGCCTCAAAACGCAGTACCCGCACTACGCCTTCATCGGCGAAGAGAGCTTTACGCCAGGCAGCCCCATCCCCAGCACCCCCACATTCATCGTCGATCCCATCGACGGGACCACGAACTTCGTGCTGCACTTCCCCGACGTATGCGTGTCGATCGGGCTCACAGTAGACGGCACGCCCACCGTCGGCGTGGTGTACAACCCCTTCCTCGACGAGCTGTACACCGGCATCTCCGGGCAGGGCGCACACCTGACCCGCGCGAACCGCGCGCCGCAGAAACTGCCGCTGCATTCCGGGCCGCTGGTGGGGCTGCGCAGCGCGTGCGTCGGGCTGGACTGGGGCAGCGACCGGGAGGGGCCGAACTTCTTGCTGAACCTGCGCGTGTTCGAGACGCTGGCGCGCAGTGCCGCTACAGGCGGCAAGTTCGTGCCCGCGCTGCGGTTTACGGGGTCTGCCGCTATGACAATTTGTCGTATTGCTGCGGGCCAGCAGGACATGTTCTGGGAGTGCGGCTGCTATGCCTGGGACGTGGCGGCTGCGTGGTGCATTTTGAGTGAGGCGGGCGGCTTGGTCGTCGATGCGCATCCTGGGAATTGGAATCCGCGGGTCGATAATGAAAGGTTTTTGGTTGTGAGACCCGCGGTGCAGGGGCAGAGGGAGATTGTGGAGGAGTTTTGGGGCGTGGTTGGTGAGGAGAGGAGTACGTATGGTCCTAGTTGATGGGCTGGATGGCTGGGGCATATGTGGTATGATTTGCTGGAAGGATAAGGCGCAGTGACTACTGCCCAAAGGAACACAGGTCCAATTCTAGATCAAAACTGCCGGCTTCTAGCACAAGATTTCTTGCTTCTTCGCTCATCTCAGCCAACTAAGCCTCACAGCTTCAGTCTCAGTGAAACATCGTGTACGAACGTGACGGAAAAGGATCTTGGTAAGTTCATGATAACTCGCCGAGCCCTGCACGGTTACCGAGAAGCTACATCGTAGCCAAGCAGCACCACCCACGACAACAGTACTTCAGGTTATCATAGCTCGCTACAGTCTCCAAATCCCCTACCCACAGACACCCCTACTCCCGAACATCCCACTTCTCAGCATCATACTCAATCTCGCCCATAACCATGGTGCCATCCTCGTTCACCAAAACGGCACAATTCCTCTTCACCAGGCCCCAATCCTCGTCCTTATAAGTCAGGGGTTCACTGGCGAGGACGACATGTCTGGGATACCACTCGACGGGCCTCAACGGGGCGGGGTTATCGATACCCTGATCAGGATGGTCCGGATACTTCCTGTTGAGTGTGACGCCCGCATGGGTCGAGAAGTACAAGGTCGGCGGGTCCTCGCGGACATGGTTGCGGAAGCGGAAAGCGACGAGGCGCACGCCGTCCGTGACGGCGAGGTTGAGGCTATTGGCCTTTGCGGCGGCGCGGCCCAGCACCCGGTGTTGCACCGCCATGACGGTCGTGACGACGCGCTTGAGCGCCTCGTACATGCGGTCGAGCGGGTATTTCTCGTCCCAGGCGATGGCGCCCGCTTGGTCCAGCCCCTCGCACAGGTACGTCATGTACAGGGCGGCAAGGTGCTCGGAGTCGGTGGCGCCGCGTATGTGCGCGAATGCCACGTCCGAGATCTCCAGCGTCAGCTGCCGCCGGATAGAGACGTAGTCCGAGACGTGCCCGGCGTGCATAATCGTGTGCCGCCCGAAGATGAATGGGTGGCAGTTCACTGCCGTGGCTGGTGCGCCGCTGGCTGGGGCCCGGATGTGCGCGAAGCATACGCGCGTCGATGTGTTGAGGCATAGGCTGCGGAAGTTGATGTCGTTTAGGGGCGGTGAGATTGTCTTAAACAATGCGGGCCGCCCGCTTTTGGTCGTTGCTATGAAGTCTTCCTGTGCCCATGTATACCATGCAATGCCGACGCCGTCGATGTTAAACTGTTTGAGTCAGAGTTTGGGTTTCCAAGGATGCGCGTGGTAAGTAGGGTTCGTTTACCTGGTGCATAATGCTGCGGGCAGGAGTGATAAGTACGTCCTCGAGGAGCACGTCTTCATGTGGCGAGAGGTAGGCGAACCAGCACATGGTTTGCAGAGCAGCGGTAGCACTAGGGCTTTCAAAAGGCTGATGATATAAAGGGTGTTGGTGTTTGTTGAAGTCGTTGTCTCGCCATCTGGACTAGAAGTTACTATACTCTTCCGGCAAGAACATGGAAGGAGCGCCTCATCTGAAGCAAAAGCTCCTTCCACATAGCACAAACAGACGGGGTTTGATTGCTATCAGCCCCCCGACTCTAATGCCAGTCCTCTCGCTAACTGTTTCTGGAGTTGGTGATGACAGGCGTCCCCGTCGTCAACGTCCTCGGTGACAAAGTTCGGATTTGCACCACTTGCGTGGATGAACAAGTTTGCCTCCAACCGCGTCACTTGTCCAGATGTTCAGCAGAAAGCCAACCTCGCTAGTGTGACCTATAACCCCAGTACCGTGCTCTTTCGCTCTGCATGGGATGGCTCATTCACGTTGCTCTCAAACTTACCGCCACCAGCCTCAATCAAAGGAGAAGCCACATCCTCGCCAAACGCCACGAACCAAAAGAAAAAGCCCACAGCAACAAACATTCTCTTAACTAAAACCATGCTAACCACGCCCTCCACGACGCACATATGCACAAACGCCCTACCCCACATCACCGCACCGTCTCTCACCACCGCCACCATTCTCCCGTCCCAGTCCTGGCGCGTGTCTGTCGCCGCCGCCGGATATCATATCATATCATCCCGCAAGTCACCATACACCAGCCAAACCCAGCCGGAGAAGAAAAGAAAGAAGCAAGCAAAGAAGCCAAGCCCATCTGTAAAAAGGAAACCAGCTGTAAAAAGAAAAGCGAAATAAAAGACGCCAGAAATGCCGCTCCGGTCAGCGATAAAGCCACATAGACAACTGCCAGAGAAGAAAGAAGAAGAGAAAAAGCCAAGACATCCGCAATCTGCAAATGCTGCAAGGTCCCCCACGAGCTGTGTCGTCGTAGAGAAAAAAAGAAGAATTAAAGAAGAAGGAAGTCAAAATCTCATTCCATTCCATCCCATCCCATCCCATCTCATTCCCCTCAGCTCGCCGTGCTCGTCGGACTAGCAGCCGCCGCAGCGCTCTGGTCCGCCGCGTCCTTAGCCGGCGCCTCTGAAACCGTGCTCTCGGTCCTAAACAGCTTCATCTTCTTGCGCGGGACATCGCCATCGTCGCCCTCGCGGTCGCGTTCCCTCTTCGAGCTATCGTCCTTGCCTTCACCTTTCTCGCCGCCGCCGCCGCCACCGCCGCTACTACTGCTTTCCTTTGGCGGCCGCTTTCCCGTCCCTACCTTCAACTTCAGCGGATTCGACGGCTTCGACAGGCCCTCCTTATCGCGGTCTGCTTTCTCGCGATCCGCTTTCTTGACATAGCTGCCCTTCTTCTTGATCTTCTTGGGGGTTTCTTCACCCTCGTCCCCTTCATCGCCGTCGCCTCTATCCCTTTCCCTCTCTCTCTCCCTCTCTCTATCCCTCTTTGCAGGGCTGATCTTTCCGCTCGCGTTCCCCGGCGCCGGCGTCCCCAGCCGACTGCCCAGCGGCGTGTTACCCGCGACGCTGCTGCCGCCCTGGGAGTTCAGCTTCGCCATGGCATTCCTGCTGCTCTGCCTCCCGCTGATGCCCAAGCACTTCTCAGCGTGCTGCGCAAAACGCGTTATCAGCAAGCTGCGCTTGCAGTTTGGACACGTGTGCCACGGGATGTAGGACGCGGGCTTGCCGCCGGGATTGAGTTTCGAGAGGCTGTTTTCCTGGTCGCCGCCGTCGCCTTGGCTGCTGCCGGGCGTGGCGTCCTTTTCTGCGCGCTTGATGAGCTCGCGCTCTTTCTTCGTCTTGGCCATGTCTGTTGGGAAGGGGTTGTTGTAGATGTCGTGGCCCGACCGCGACACGAAGGGATGGCGTGTGCAGTAAGTCTTGCTGAGGTCGGGCATCTGCATCCCGGTGCCTGCGATGGGGTACATCAGGCGGGGAAGCTTGCAGTACGGGCAGATGATCTCGGGCGTGGTTTTGAGCGGGTTGCCGTGCAGCGTCACACGCCCATTCTCGTACGCCGCACCCGGTGTGTCTATTTTTACGCTCGGAGGCTGGTTCGTCGAGCCCTTTGCGACCGACGCATTCTCTTGGTGTTCGGCGATAGCTGCTTGCTCGGCGATGGTCGCGGCGGATTGCATGCGCAAGACTTTCTCTTCGCGGTGCGTTTGCAGCACAATGTCGTGGATGATGTTGTACAGACAGTCCTCTACTATGTTAGTAGCCTGGCAGCAAGTGTCAGCGAGACCCTTCCCATGATTGTAAGCCCGGACGTACCAGCTCCGCAAAGCTGGCCCCTCCCTTTGCTTCGTCCGCGTCTTCGGACATGATGCCTTCTCTAAGTATTATACAGCGCGGCGAGCAACTGCGAGCGGTTCCAAGTGGCTACAAGTCTACAAAGCGTATGTACGAGCGATGGCGGTGTCGAAGATGGTCAGCCGGCGATGGCAGGCGGAGGTGGTTGTGGAAAGCGTGCGGTCGTCGCCGGGCTGACTTCGTGGCGACGGCGGAGGTGTATGCGCGCGGTGGACAGGTCTCGGTCGGGCGGTGGCCAAAAGTTGGTTCTGCGATCGCGTACCTACGCCCTGCGATGTCTGTAGCTCCGGGGGATCTACGACTGGCCCGCTCGGTCCATTACGAGCCCTGTGAACGGCTTACGCGAGACAACGGCGAAGAGACATGCCCCGATTCGTCGTATCTGAAGCAGCAGTCGACGTCAGCGGGAACCAAGAGTGTCGTGGCTTGGACAACATGCGCTCCTCGGGCGGTAGTTTGGTCGCCGGTGCGAAGAGTCAAGAAAGAAGAGTGAGATAGCCGGCTCGGGAAACGTGCATTAGCGTCACAGCCACATGTTGTACCTGACTAAGAGCCGCATTTTTTACCCCGGCCAGACAGTACCACATCGCCAGCTGATCGTTGAGGCAGTCACGGAGAAAATGCACAAATGGTCATATTCATACGTCCCTGAGCTTCAGGGCTTCGATGCCATGTAGTATGTAAGCTTTCGTTTCAACGCCAAGCAGCGCCACCCTGCCCCAACAGAATACCCAGACCGTCCGCCATCCTCAGTAAACGCCCACGCCTTCACCTAAAACAACTAAGCCTTTCCCCGCACCCTCAGCGCCGTGTCCATTAGCTTGCGGAAGTCTAGTCGCCGGTAGTCCTCCGGCATGTACTCGCCAGACGCGATGCAGTGCACCTTCATGCGCGGGTGGAAGCGCAGTCCATGCAGCAGCTTCGGCGTGATGAGGAAGTACTGGCTAGTGTGCTCCTGACAAGCGATATCCACCATGCGCTCGTGTACCATGCGCTCATTTCTCGGATCCATACCCTGGTTGATCTCGTCAACTACGCGGAAGGGCGAACGCGCCAATGACTGCAGAGCCATGAGGTAGAAGATGGTCGAGACCGCGCGCTCACCACCGGACTGTCGGTGGCTGTCGAGCAAAGAAAGCTGCTCTTGCTCACGGAACTTGACCTGGATCTGAATGGCCCACTGGTCGAAATCCTCGGCCTTGTAGATCCCGACTTGACCGGCACATCCAATCTTGTTGAAGTTGAATGAGAAGGCGTCGCTGATCTTCTGCACGAGCGCATCCAGCTCCGGCTCCCATTGAGCCTTGATGGAATCAATCTCTTGCTGCAGCTCTTCGAGCTCCGCATCCATTCCACGCAGCTTGTCTTCGAGCTTGCCAATGTCTCTGGCACGCTTTTCGTATTGTGCAATGACATGAGGATTTCCGTCATGCAACAATCCGAGCCGTCCTCTGAAAGACTCTATCTCGCTTTCCAGATCCTCTTCGCTGATCGTCTCCTGAATGTCCTGTACCAGCTCTTCCTCTTCCTCGCTCCTCTCTTCTTGAATGCGCTTGACTTCTTCAACCAAGCGTCTGGCCTGGCCTCTGATTTGCTTAACCTCTTGTTTCAGGGCATTGACTTCTTGCTTTCGAGTCTCCAGCGTTTGTGTGACGTCTTCGTTGCGAGCCTCCAGAATCTCGACCTCTGATTGAGCTTCTGCACGAATGAGTTCCACTTCCAGCATGTCGTTGTACACTTTAAGTAGCATTTGAACCGAGGTCTACCATTGTGTTAATAAAAATTCGTACGCGTAACACGCAGATACTTACCGAATAATCAAGAGCAGCTTGACTCTTCCTCAGCGCCATATTGTCAGCCTTGGCCTCGATGTCGTAGAGACGTCGTCTAGTGCTTGCACCACGCTCCCGGAGACTATCGCGTTTCGTCATCTGAGTTTCCAATCTCGTGTGAAGCCCTTCAAAATCCGCTCTGGCTTTCTGAAGAGCGTTCTTCTCGTGCTCAATAGAATCCTATCGGCTAGTTAGACCAGTCCTCTCAACTTGAAAGGAAAGCTTACCTTCTCGTGTTGAGCCTCCGATTTCCGCTGTCTCAGCTCTGTCTCCTTCTGTCTGCACTCGTTTATAACCCCTTGAAGCATTTCCAGATCATGGCTGATTTCGTTAGTCTTAGCAACCAGCTCTCTGTCCCTTCCGGTATCGACGGGTTGGTTTGTCCAGTACATGGCGGCCCTGAGCTCTCTGACGGTCGTGGACACCGCGCCTGCACCATATTCCCTACGCCGGGAAACGCTATACGCAGCCCTGCCAGCAACCCATTGGGAGATAGGGCTCTGAAGTAGTCTTTCGTACTGCTCATCATTGTGTTCGTGCAGTGTGACGCCTGTTCTATGAATGCCTCTGGTGTCACAAAGGGCCGAAAGAACAGGCTCCGGTCCGGAAATGAAGTCAATAAGCCAGCCGCTAAGACCACAATGCTGGAGGTGTTCGTTAGAAACCTGACCTCGCCAATGACTCATGGGTTTGATGGCTTCCTTGAGGTGAAAATCGCGCAGGTTCATCTCTTGACTGAACTTCCTACCCAGCATGTTGAAGTCTTGCCTGTTGGTACAAGTGAAAGCTAGGTAGTCGCCCTTTTGCATAAAGGTCTCCACAGCGCTAGCATAGCGAGGGTCTTGAACGGAACAAGATATGATAGGCGGACCAAATACCTCACCTCTCAAGCTTTGCTTGTTGTTTTGAATCCACTCCCACGCAACGGCAGTGTCTTTCGAAATACCTCTGAGCTTGTTCGCCTGTTGTCCTTGTTGCGACTTGAGGTTCTCACGTTCAGCGTGCAACCTATGTCTCTGGCTTTCCTTGGGTTGAAGCTGCCGCTCATGCTCCTGTCTCTTCTGTCTCTCATCAAACTCCTGAGCCTCGAGATCGCGGATTGCACGAGCTCGCTCTCTAATTCTTTCGTTGAACGCAGCCGCATCAAACTCCGGTGGCTCATGTTTCATCTGATTCTGGATGGTTCTGATACTACCATCAACCCTTTTGAGCTCCGCCTTTCGCTCATTGTCGGCGTTGCGTTCCGTTTCTTTCTCTTTGTCAAGGTCTTCGAGCGCGCCGTGAAGTTCCTTGTGCTTTGATTGCAGCTTTCCTGCTCTGTTTTCGGCACCCAGGACCAATTTCCTCCGCTGTTCGGCAACTTTTGTGACTTCTTGGTGGTATTTTTGCTTATCCTTCAATGCTGACAAAATCGGCGCGACTTCCTGCTCGAGCTCACGGAGCTCCGCCTGGGCATCGTTCTGTCTTTGTTTGGCTTCATCATGCCGAGTCCGTATCACACGGTAGTGGACGAGCGGCCGCAGATTCTCGTATGCCTTGACCTTAGCGACTAGCGTCTGACGCTCTTGCAACCGTTCGACATCAGCTCTTTGTGCGTTTTGGCGGTTTTGGAAGTTCGCCAGGGTTTCCCGTTCAGCCGCCGTGGTGGCTTGTTTTTGCTTCTGGTCGGAACGCATTTGCTTCAGTTGTGCATGCCATTCGTTCATCTGTTCCGGTGCAGCCGCCCTTTGTGTGTGTTCGAGGAGCTGGATAGGGCTGAGCGCAGCAAATTCCACCACACGGTCCTGGGGAAGGAATTGGCAAAGATTGTCGATTTGAATGGAGAAGGACTTGCATAGCCTAGCGATCTCCTTTGCGGTTGACTGAGAGCCGTTCAGTGAGAAACTCGTCTTGTTGCCCTCCTTCTTGATCAGCCGTCGAATTATGGGATTGCGGCCTCGAGTTTGTTGTCCGCCCGCAAGTTCAATTTCAATCTCCGCCTCCCGAGCGCCATGCTTCACAAACTCTCCCAACTCTTTGGCTCGCCCCAAGTGTTGCGGACCCCAGCCCAGACCTAAGCATATCGCGCAGACCAATGTACTCTTTCCTGTGCCATTGGGGCCGATAATCATGTTCAGACTTGGGCCCAGGTTGAATTCCGCTGCGGTGTATGTGACAAAGTTGGTGAGCTTGACGCGCACAATCGAGCCGGGCTGATGCTCCAGCGGCGCGCCGCTGGGTCCGTCATTTTCTCGTGACCGGGACCGGTAGCTTTCAGGAAGGACTGGAGTCTCAGGTGGCTGTCACTGTTAGCGTCACTGTCGTCCACGTTCTGGCGGTAGAGAATACTTCAGATTCGTCACTGTGCTCTACTCTAGGTCTCTTCGCTCTTGCTGCTTGAGCGTCATCAGCACTTTCACCGTCGATGTCCTCCTCGAAATCATCGCTTGTCCGCTTGTGCGATGGCACATGGACTCTAGCCATGGCTGAAGTGACGTATAATTCGTGGAGCGATCTGGTGCGGCCCGCGTTGTTGAAGACGCGTCGCGCGTTTGTCTAGCGGCAATCTTATCTGATTAGATTAGCATAATCACATGACCGTGGTGAAATAGGTGTAGATTATTAGATGTTGAATCAGGCCATGAGATTGTTGGTTGGTCTAGCTATTCTGTACGCTCTATAGAGAAGAGACGCTATTTGGGAGCCTCGGCAGGCAAGTTCCTCCTAGAAGCAAGGCCTGGATCCATCCACAATGTGATATGAATTTAGCTCGTCTTAAAATTGGCTTAACATAGTATATATACTCTTTCTTCAATAAGGCAGAATTGGGATTGTAGATTCCTCACAGCAAAGTACCCATCTTGGGTTATACCATATAGCAAACAATAGTATGTAAACACTTCGAGGTGGTGATTTTGTCCAGTCGTGAATTTCCGTACACCACTCCGTACAAGTCCTCACATCATTTTGGATAATCGGTCACTGCTTCAACATTGGTCATTCCACGACCTGTCTTGCAGAACGTTAATGATTCATTTATTTTGATCCCAACAACGCAACGCCTACTGCGTCATCTTACAGACACAGCACCGCAGGTATAGGTACAAGATCATCGAAAGAGGATGAGATTTGCTGCATGCCTTTCCATCGCCGTGGAAACTATTCTTTTTCCAGTTCCGAGGAAAATCTCAAGGCAGACCCGTCCCGATCTGCTCCTCTTACCGCTTATTCAATAAGCTCGCAAGACGGTCCGAATCTACTCGACGTCGGCCTTGCCCTCGAAGTTCTCGCCCGCGACGAGGTCGGGGATGTCGTCATCGTCCTCGTCCTTCTTCTCCTCCTCGCCCTTCTCCTTCTGCATGCTCTGGTAGCTCTCGGCGAGCTTGCGGAGGGAGGCCAGGGAGTCGGGGCCGAGCTGGTTGAGGATACCGGGGACGAGCTCGGTCAGCTCCTTGTCCTCGCCGTTGCCGTAGATGGCGAAGGTGTTGGCGGGGACCGAGGCGTGGACTAAACGGTAACAGTTAGACGCGAATTTCCAGAGATTTCAAGCAACGCCCTCGCCGCAATATCCTCGAGGTTGTCCCGCATTGGGCGCAAAGATAGAGCTCAGGCGCGCCGTGAATCACTCACCCTTGGGTGCCGCGAAGTGGATGACGTTGCCGTCGCTCTTGAACATGTTGACCTCCTCGATAGCCTGGATGGGCTGGACGTTCAGCTTCTTAAGAGCTCCCTGGAGCTTCTTGTCGTCGGTGCCAGCGTTCTTGTGGACCTTCTTGACCTTCCTGCGGGGAGTACCCTTGCCTCTGTCATGATCATCGTCCGTTAGCTTTGCTCTCTCGAGTGTCGACTGCGCTCGTCGACCCAAAGACTGTGTCGGAGGGCAGAGGTGCGGGGACGCGCAGGAATCCGATGTTTGCTTACCCTGTTCACGTCATCGCGTTAGCAGAATACTCGATACCGACTCTCAAGGCCGAGCCATGCGGCGGCTGCATTTCTGAGAGCTTGACATACCGATGCGCACAGAGGCCTGCATCCTGGCGAGCTTAGCCTGATCCATTGTTGCGGTTGTGAGGTTGAAGGTCGGAAAGGTGGAGCTTCTGGGACCTGCGTGGCGGGGACAAAAATCAGCGCTGCGAGCTTCGAGGCGGCAATTCGCGGCAGGCGCAGATGGGCGATGCGGCGGGCGGTGGCGGTTGACGTACCTAGAGTGTCGGATGAGGCAGTGGTATCTCTCGTCGCGAAGTTCGTGATGCCGCCCAGTTTCAACTCGGCGTGATCGGCGCCGTGTGCGGTTCTCGCTTAGAGCCACCCAAAAACATCATCGCGAGATCAACGACGCTGGAACGACGCGCAATTGCTTCCAACTCCTGCTCTTTGCTCGAAAATTACCTACGACGCCTGATCGAAGATCCTCACTGATTTCCTGAGGCGGACTATGGTGACGACTGTTTCAATGTCACCCCCAGCCGTGTAACCGGAGTATGGTTAAAACTGGTCACATTTTTTGGGCTGGAAGCAACTTGCAACCGTCAAAAAGGCGTTTATCGCTATGTCTGGATAGGTTTTGCGTAGCCGTTTGAACTCTCTTATTATTGCGGAGTGAGAAATGTCGAAAACAGTCAACACTAAGAGCGGAGGACTCACGTGTACGAGGCAGCCTGCGTCGAAGGAGCTGCAATGTTGTGTTAGAGTTTGACGAAACTTCTTGGTGCAGTGCAAATTCCTTGCATTGGCTATGCGGTTGATAAGTATCATGTCTCAGTTTCTTTGTGCTTCCTTCTTGTCATCTGACGCCATCGATTCCTATTTCTTTGCACCACTAAGCTTTCTTTCTTTCCAATGCACAAGATGCAGCTCGGCAATCTAAGAGGGTACTCTCTTGGTTGTAAATCATCTCTTGTCTATAAACCATTTTCAACAGTGGGAAAGTGTCTCAGAGACCTTACATTCTTTACCATATTACTGGACAAACCGCTATACCGGGTGCTTTTCTTACTATACAGCAGTCATCACAAGATGCAGGCATTGAACCGGCGCTATCCTTGGCCTACCTCACATGTGTCACTTTCCAAAAGCAGCAAGATATTCACAGGCCTCACATACCAAGCCTCGGACAGACACCAAGCATCACGAGCCAAGAGGGTTGGCATAACGATAAACAGCTAAGCCACCATGCACAACTGCCACAGCTCATTTCCCCGCGTCTCTCGCCACCCTCACGCCTCTCTTCGCCTCAGCATTGCCAAAATGCAGATCCACAATCACCAAGCCAATCACAAACACGCTAAACGCTATCAGGACCTCGAACATCCCTGATCTCGGCCTCCGAAGCTTCGGAACCCTTCCTCGCCTTGCCCAGCCGGAGCTGCTCGTCAATCTCGGCGAAAGCGGCCGCCTCGCTGATGTTGAACTGCGCGGCGAGGTAGAGCGCGTAGCGGTTGCGGTAGTTGTTTGTGATTGTGGCTGTGGACGCGTTACGAGGGACTATGAGGGAGCTCGGGATCAGTGGAGCTGTTCCACGGCGCAGAAGTGGGTAACTGCAGAGGCGGGTTTACCTGTAGCTTGACCGTTCGAGAGGAAAACGTCACGGGATGGTTGCTCGGTCGAAGTTGTTGTTGTTGTTGTCGTCGTCGCCGGCGTGAGCGTGATGGACGGCGAGGAAGGCATCTATTTGAGCAATGCTGCTATGGCTATCGGGATGGAGAGGCGCGCAAATGGGCAGGATGCCCCGGACGGACGGACGCAGTGCAGCTCACGCCACACACGAACGAATCTCTGGCGACTGGCTGTGTGTGTGATAGAGGGAAGAGATGCAGTGAAAATGTGCGACTGGGCTTGCACCGGACCCTCGAACTTATAGACCTACCTCCTAGCACACCATGAGCACCTCCTCTTCGCCCATCCCATCATCAGCACCGCAAATCACCGCCCTCAGCAGCAGCACGCCCACCGTCGCATGTAGCGGTCAAAGCAAGCTCCGCACATGACGAGGGCAGGCCGTGGGCTAGAAAACGCGCGCAACCGCTCGCGAGCGAGGCGGCGGTGCAGTGCAGCGCAGAGCAGTTGCAGTGGTCGGTCGTCGCTTTTCTGCACGCCTCCTGGACCCGGTAAATCGCTCTGCAGATCCGGTGCCGCCGTCGACCCCTCCCATGAACCTTTGCTCATTCCATCCTCTCAGCCGGCGCCAGGCCGTGTCACCGCACCGGCTGGAAGCAGCAGCAAATGGCCATTCTGAGCGCCGTCACAATGGCCGAGCTATGTAGCAGCGGCCTGGGCTACGGTGCGTAGGTACGATGATCCAGAAAACCCCGCGCAACATCACTGGGTACATAGGTACCGCCGCCAGTCTGTCAGGCTTCTGTCCTCCTTCACGCCGCCGGAATGCATGCGTGAGGAGCGCGGTCGCACAGCCTGCCTCGCACTGCGTGCCGCGCGCGCGGCCAGCTTTATTTGCCTCATCACTCATATCGTCAGCGGCAGCGGCGGTATCATCTGCCCTCGCTCTTTTAGGCCGGGGCGAGGCAGGTCGCGCGCTGGCGAGCGGGCCCGGCTGTCTGGTTGCCAGGCTGGTGATGCTGTACGATGCGATGGCGCCGGCGTCGCTGTCTCGTGGCGTCGAGGCGCGGGCTGCGCTGACTGGTTGCGAGGAGGAGGCTGGACGTTGCTCCGGCGCGCGGTTTGCATGTGCTAGGTATGTACTACACCTTCTCTGCTCTCTGAGCAGCGCTGATTGTTTTCTTTTTCTGCTTCTCGAGATTTTCTTTTCCTTTCTTTTCCGTCCTCTTCTCTTCTCTGTGCTGCCATTGCAGCGCACATCTCCGTCCGTATCAGCCAGACGCGCTTTCCGCTCCAATTCACCCCATCCACCCTGCTGCGCGCGCGATTTACCCCCTGCTGACAGTGCGAGCTGATGAGCGACATTCCTACCGACCTCGCTAGCTAGCTCTATACAGCAACCCGAGCACGCATACCATCAGCATGCCCTCGTCATCGTCAACACCGTATCCGCCAGCGCGGATGATCGCCCGCCAGAATTACGCGCACCACCTCCGCAGTAAGACGCGGAAGAGGGGCGCGCCAATCGCTACGGTCGGTCTTGCAGATGGCTAGCTAGCTGGCTGTCTGTGCGAGGGTTCTGGAACTGGTGGGGCGCGCTCCCCGTTAGCTATCTCTTCCCTTTCCCCTCACCCCGGTTTGCTCCCTCCCCCTACCGCCAGTCTGTCTCTTACCACAAGCTCCCTCTCCTCCACTTCCATCTTCTTAGCCCCTCAACTCAGCTCAGCTCCGGAAAGCGCGAATTTCGCTCTCCACCCTTAGGTGCGGGTCTCTTGCGCCACTGAGGTCTTCGCTGCTTGCGGACGCATGATGCACGTAGGTGCGGGTGGGCGGGCAGACGCTCTCCATGTACTGGTGCAGGTGCATGCATGCATGCGCTGCGAGATTGGTTGGTATGTTTTGGTTGGTGTGGTTGGTTGGTGGGGTAGTTAGATGTGGTGAGGTAAGATAAGGCATGTAGCGCAGGCAGCTCCGGATAGGAGGTACGTACGTACCTATGTGCGCAGGTAAGCATGGGTGGGTAAGGCTTGTGGACTGGCTAGGTTGTGTATGGCAGACAATGGCTGCGTGGGTGTGGTGCTGGAACAAAGCCGAGTAGGTGTGGTATTGGCTACAGCTATAGGATAACAGCTATGCACGCTTAACTCAACCCTAGACAAGCAGAGCAAGTGCAGCAGCCACAGCAGCCACTTGAGTCTTATTTATTCGCGTACCAAACCTTCTTCATGCCTCTCTTCATCCCTATTCTTTTATTTACTAAATGCCCTCTTTTTCGTTTACCCTACACTCCCAACCCCGAAAGAGCACTTCGGCATTAAAAGATGCTATGTATGATAATGGCGAACGTTCTGACGAAACGGAATTAGAAACCTTAAGTAGCCTAAGCACTTACCATCCCATCCGAGCTAAAAGTACGACACGATCAGCACTCGCATCCACTGAACGCATTAGGGAAAGAAATACGAAGAGAAGGGGGTCTATCGAGGAAGCTATGCCTTAAGGGAGGTATTTAAAGAAGCGCCTAGAGGAATAGTCTATAACGCTCTTGCCTGTTCAGTCTATTTATATATATATACATAGCTGCCCATCATCTCTTTTGCCTTATGGTGTAGGGAATCTCTTTCCGGTTATAGTGGTAGTCATCTTTTTCTCTTACTGCTGAACACCGCATCTCGACAAGGAAGTATGAAAGGCAGCTGTCGTCGCTAATAGACGTAAGTGACGCACTTGTGCCTTGGAAAGAAATGAAGAGGAAAGAATGGTGCCCAATATGTAGAGAAATCTGAGCTTGGGGTAACCGTAAGGTGAAGTGACATGATTTGTGTACTTCAGTTGTCGTGGTCTTTAATGAGTTGGCTTAAGGTCCGCGCTCTTAAAGATTATGTGCCCGCGAGGTAGGTTCAATTCGGCGGCTATGCCAAAGAGCGGACTAGAAAGGTTGCTGCGTATATCATTAAATGCTCTATACTTCGCCTCTTACGCACCCAACCACCTCCCCGACCTCCGTGCTTAACACTAACTACATAAACACCGCTCCCCAAGCGATCTACAACCCAAACCACAGCCCAGCAAACCCAGCAACCCAACTACCCGAACCAAAACGCATCCCACAGCGGCCCCTGTTCGCGATATAACCAACCAATCCAACCTATCCAGCTCCGGCTCGCAGGAAAGCGATCGCTACCTCAATATAAAAAGACCGCCACCACCACCAAAGCATTCCTAACACACAAGCAATCAATCACCAGCTCATCCGACTTGAAGTCTCACCTTACAGTTCGCGGAAACAGCATAGCTCCAACAACGAATAGGGGGTCGGGAGCAGCATTACACAAACCCTCGAGGTAAGTTCCTTTACGGCAACCTTTAGCATTTCGATCAGATCTTCCACTACTATAGCGACGATGATGTCGATGATGACCTTCACCCACTTCTCATACTGCTGAACACCAACATATCCTAACACCGTTAACCATAAAAAGCAACACACTATCCAAACCTAACAACCAGCACACCCTCCTCTTCTTTTTCCGGAAATAATTAGATCTCAATAGTTAGTGCTATGTTGTACGCCCTTTACACTGTACATCTTTGTAGTGCTTTATTTTGGCCAGTGCCGCTGTGTCCATGCCTGCAGCGCCTACCTACGTCCCGCCTCTGTTTTAGCTGGTTTTAAACGGGCTAACAGCGACGATTACTCTGCACAAGAAGGCACGCCACAGCGCCCCACAAGCCCCTCACCACTTCACCACATCACCACATCACCACTTCTCGCCAGGCACGCACGCAAACACGCACGCACGCATTCGGCCAACCAAGAATCCAGCAGCTTCGTCCACCAGCACGCCCAACAGCGCCCTCAGTCCTTCTACAGTCTTCCCCGCGCCACCAGCTAGCTCCCCAAGAAGGCAGTGCAATGCCGCTCTAAGCCGTAAGACGCAGCTGGTCGGTGGGTGTAGGAGTAGTATGATTTTGTGTCCAAGCCGTCTGCGTTTTATGTATGTATGCATGTATGTATGTATGTATATATGTAGCAGCATAGCACGCAGCATGCCGGAGCGTACAGTATAGTACAGTATTGTACAGTAAATACCACCAGCACCACAACCACCAACACCGCCATCGCCGCCGCCGCCGAAGTATCGTCAGAAGAAGCCGTGCGTGCGTGCGTGTATGCGTGTGTGGTGACGGACTGACTGCTTGGTCGGTGTTTGGGGGTTTAGGGTTGTGGAGTTTGGGAGCACCTATGTACATAGGGTTAGAGGGGCCGTGCCGTGCCGTGCAGGAACAGGAGCTGGAGCTGGAGCTGGAGCTGGAGCTGAGGCTCGAGCGGGGGAGAGAGAGAGCTGTTGCTGCCTGCCTGCCTGCCTGCCTAGCGCCCGCGCCTGTGGCGGCGTGGGAGTGAGAGCGAGCGAGAGTGAGAGTGGGAGTGAGCTTTGCGTTTCAGGCCTGCGGGGTAGCAGCAGGGCGGGGCGTGGCTGCGGACGCGGGCGTGAATGGCGGGGTAGATGGATGACTCTTTCGCTCTCGCTCGGTGATTTTCCCTCGCTTTCTCTCTTTTTTGCATTGGGAGTTATTGCATGATATGAGTATGGTGCCTACTTATGGTAAGGGCTGGGTTGAGTTGGGTAGGGGTGGGAGACGGCTTTGCTGCTTTGCTGCTTTGTGGCTTTGTGGGTTTGTGTGGGTTTGTAAGCGGAGAGGAGGTGAGGCCCAACGTGCGTATGTATGTATGTATCCGTAATCCGTATGTAGGTATACCTAGGACCTAGGTACCTACGGGCCGGAACGAGGGGTTCGGACTAGGTTCTGATTCGCGGGCTGAAGCTGAAGCTGAAGCAGATTGATGATTATGACTGACTGGGTGACTGACTGGAAGGAGATGCGAAGAGCGAGCGAGAGAGAACAGTTGCCAGTTGCGCCTCCGGCGTCAGATCGAATGCACTCACCCCGTGCTACCTACCTACCTACCTACCTCCACACAGCGGCCATCCTGTGTGATGAACAAAGCTGGAACCTTATCACAGACAGCCACAGCCACACGCACTCGCACCTTCTCGAAGCGATGCACGCTCCGGCGAGCCCGACCTACCAGCGACAACAGCCACCAACAGCGCGCCCATCTCCCCCCTAGTTAGGTACATACTTACCACGCACCCACGTACCCAGCGCCCGGTCCCAGGCAGGCCCTGCGCCGCACCCCCCGGCACCGCGCAGCAGCTCCCAGCAAGCGAGGCCGCGTGCCCGTCGCGTGGGAGCCGGCGCCGCGCGCTGAGTGGTTGGTTGGCGCGCGGTTCGGGCGGGCGCTTGGGAGCCGAGATGCCGGCGCGGGTGTACAGTAGGGACATACCTAGGTACCCCCGTCCGTGGTAATGTAAGGGTGGGCTCGGTCGGCGAACAGGCTCGCGACGCTGGGTTGGGTAGGTGCGGATTGCAGTGTGGATGGGATGGGTGCGGATGGGAGTGGTGGAGGAACGGGGCGTTGTGGTTGGTGGTCGTGGTCAATCCAGTACGGAGTATGTAGGAGTAGGGCTGCATAAGTAGAGCAGCAAATTGGTGGCATGCAGGCTGCCGGGCCGCTCCACGTCCCCTCAAGCACCTAACTACCTACGTCTCGCAGCCCGACGAGCAGGCCTTTGCTTTTCCGGCTCTCTCTGCGCAGCACCTACCTAGCAGCGGCAGCGAACCCAAAGATCGCGCGCGCCAGCAGCAAGCAAGCAAACAGCAGCATCATCACCCCGCCAACTAACCCTCCGCAGCCGCCCACTTACATACGTCCATACATACATTAGCACCATGATTGCAGCGGCAGCCGCAGCCGCAGCACCACCACCACCAGCTTGACGACGACCGGTTCACGCAACAACGACGCATGGCATGGCCGGCCATCAATGGCCTCCTCGTCGTCGCCCGCTTCCATTCCGGACTCGCAGCTGGGCCTCTCGGCCCAAGACGTCCAGACGCTGCGCTACCACCAGCAGCTCGCCCTCTCGCAGCACAACGGCCACGCCCACGCCAACGCCACCGCCAACGGCTCGTCGCGAGCTGCCAGCCAGGCCTCGAGCCAGGGCCGCTTGCTGCTCGATCCGTCGAGCTTGCAGGCATTGAGCGCGCATTTCGACCGCCTGATGTTCTCGATCCAGCAGCGCTGGGCAGCTGTGAGTCTCTCCATTCCGCGTCTTTGTATCGGCTTCCGCACTCGTCGCGTTCAAGTCAAGTTCGCTATCAAATCAACCACTCTGTCAAATCAATCAAGCTGACACGACGCGCTCGCGCGCACCCTCATAGCTCACAGAGCAAACGCGCCTCGCGACGCAGACGCAGCACGACCGCGCGGGCAACGCGCTCGGCCTCGCCGACGCCCAGATCGCCCGCTTCCATGAGATACTGCGCCAGATCGACGAGCTGCAGGTCGAGTTCGACAAGATTCGCCGGATTGGCGATATTGTGAAGGCGTTTCGTGCGCGCGTCGAGGCGCTCGATCGCCGCTTTCCTAAGTGACGTGTCGCCGCCTACGCCGTACTTGTGTACTTGCTCGCGACCTACTTACTTACCTACCTGCCTGCCTGCTTTCTGTACGGCGCGACAGGCTGTGCGCTATACCTACCACGTACGCTTGTGCGCGCGCGCAATTATTACCTATCCTGCCAACATCACCACGACACCCGCATCCGCAGCAAACCCCCCACGCGCACAATGCGCCACCTCGCACCTCCCACTACGACAGCACAGCCAACACGGCCGCGAAACGAGACCCACGCACGCATACCCATACCCATACCCACACCAATAAAGAACGAGAGCGAAAGAGAGAGGAAGCAAGGCCTCGCGGCCGCCGGAAAGAGAATGAGAATGAGAACTAGGCTGGCTAGGTGCTGCGAGAACCGTAGGGGTGGGGGAGGGGGGGATAATTCAGCATAATTCCCGCTTAATTTGTAAGGCTGGAGCTGTGCGCGTATCGCGTAGCTGGTGATGATATTGGTACTGGTATTGGTATTGGTATTGGCTATAATGAGAATATGAGAAGGGCGTGCGCGCTAAAGGACTAGGTTGGGTTGGGCTGGGTTGGGCGTTTTTTTGTTTTTGTGTTTGTGTGCGTTGGCGTTTGAGGTTGTGGTTGTGGTTGTGGTTATGCGTTATGCGTTATGCGTTGTGCGTTGTGCGTTGTGCGTTGTGCGTTGTGGTGTCAAGGTTGGGCTTTCGCTGCTTTGAGGGCCTGGTGGGGGGTGAGATGCTAGACGGTGTTCGTGGATGGATGGAGGGAAGGGGAAAGGAGGAAGGGGGGTAGATACCCATTTCCTACCCTTGCTCTTATATTGCTCTATCTCTCTATCTATCTAGCTATCTATCTTGTACACACGCGCGCGCGGTAGTTATACGCGTAGCTACGGTCTGATATCGATACCCTAGACCTGCCTCCTGGCACGACCTACTAGGTGGGATTGTTAAGTATGGTGTATGGTGATTCATCTACCTGCCCGCCCTGTAGTTGTGCGGAAATAGACCTCGAAAGAGAGAACGCCGCCATAGCTGCCTACCTATACAAGTAGGAGTCGGTTACCTAAGCCGCCGCTAAATTTACCTTATCGGAACATCGGTCTTTATCTATCTCACCATCTCTTTCCTACTATCGATCTATACATATCAGCATGGAGTCCATCGACAATCGCGCTGCCGTCTCTCTGTCAGAGGAATTCAGCGTCCAGAAACCCAGGGTCCAGGAACCCGTCACTCGGCAGTCCCTCAGCGATCTCCCAGAAGAACTTCTCGAAAGCATCCTCGACCACTATGACGCAAACGCCGGCTGGAAACCGCCTGAGGGCTTCCGCAGCGTCCCCAGCGACGACCGACTACGACCTCTCAGATCATTATTGCGAGTATCGAAACAGTTCCGTCGACTAGTCGAGCCCCGGATCTACTCTTGCTATGAATACGACGACAAGCAGCACCGCAAGTTCCTCCGCACGTGTATTGCGCGCCCCGACCTCGCCGGCGCGGTACGCTTCGCCAGATTCAAATGCCGCTTTTGGAATGCGCGGAACAGTGCAGCCGGGGGTCTTGACGCCGCCGTCGCTGCCGCAGAAAAAGAAGCGAACAATAATATCACTGACCTCTGCGCCGCCGCCGCAGAAAGGGGCTGGGACGAGACGTTCGTTGCCGATTTAATCGCCGGAAGAAAAAACGCAGAGCTGGCCTTCTCGCTGTCGCTTCTGCCCAACCTGACGGGACTGGACTTTGTGGCTCCCCAGACCTGGCCCACCGACTGCCATCTGCGCCGCTTCATAGAGGCGCAGCCGATCTCCAAGCTCGCGCAAGTGCAGCTCTCGGGCGGCATGGAGGGTTACGGCTCCGAAACGCTGGGCAAGTTCCTGGCCGCCCCGTCCGTTCGCGCGGCGCATTGCAGCGGGATGACGTTCCGGGGGCGGGAGCTGTGGGCGCCGCGGTCCTCGCAAGTCGAACACATAGCGTTAGAAGAATGCAGCTTGCAGGCCGCGGACCTGTGGGCGCTGTGCAGCGCGTGCACGGCGCTCAAGTCGCTCGCGCTCAACTGGAAACACCTCGACGAATGGAGCGGCGCTGACCTCGACCTCGCTGCCATTCTCCGCGCTATCGACCTGCACGCCGCGTCGCTGAGCCGCCTCGCCCTCCTCGTCGCCGGCTACGTCCCTGACCTCGGCATCTGCATCCCCAGCGGCGCCTGCATCAGGCACCCCGCCCCGGGCGCAAGCGGCTCGCTCAAAGCCCTCAATATCACAGAGCTCGAGATCACGCAGCCGCTGCTCGCGGGCCCGAGCCCGACTCCGCGCTCTGCGCACGACTTTGCGGACCTCGCCGACGTCTTTCCCGCCTCCCTCAACACCCTCAAAATCCACATCAACGCGCACCTCCCCGCCTTCGTGCCCTTCCTGTCCGCTCTCGCGTCCCTGGCTCAACAGCCAGGCAAACTGCCACAGCTCAGACGTGTCGTCCTGCTTATTCCGAGCCCAGATTCTGACTGCGACACCCCGCCATGGCTGCGCGACGCGCTGGCGGAACTGAGGGCGGCGTTTGCGGACGTTTGTGAGGAGCTGGATCCGAGGGGGGGTGGGAGCGTCGTGCTGGGTTTGTGAGCTGGGCTGGGGAGGGGAGAGTGCTTGGTGTTGGGTTGGTGCAGGGGGCAGCAGCACGGCAGCTACTCTACCTACTGCGCCGTGGTTCCGCGGACGGAGAGCGTACGTATGTGCGTGCGTGCGTGCGTGCGTGCGGACGGGGTTTTTCCGCATGGTGACATGCTGCTGCTGCTGATGCTGCTGCCGAAGAAGCAGAAAAAGTAGAAGAAGAAGACGAGACCGCCGCAACAGCGCCCGCCCGCCAGCCGGCCATACCTACATAGGTCCTCACACACTCCCGTCACTCTTTGGCGATGTGCGCTGGGCGCCGTCCTCGGCCCAGCACCTTCGCTAGGTAGGAGGACACTGCAGCAGCAGCAGCAATAGCAAACGGCACGACACGCGCTGGCGTTGCTTTTGCTGCTGATGAGAGGTTTGGCTTGGACATGGGGTGCTTGTGTCCAGACAGGGCGGGGGATGGCGAGATGGCGGGCTAAGTGGCACTGGCTGCGGGCCCCAAGGGCGAGGGATGGGCGAGTGCCTCGTGCCCGCGGCGAGGGACGAAGGAGATAAGCGAAAGAGGAGGAGAAAGAGGAAGAGAAAGAGAGAGGAGGAGAAAGAGGAGGAGAAAGAGAGAGGGAGAGAGAACGAACAAAAAAGCGCACAAAGCACCAGCCAGCCGACAGGCTATTGACGCGCTCCTGTGCCCGCCCAAGCATCAACAATGCACCTACCGAGCGCCCCTTGCGTTACGTGCACGTTCCAACTCTAAGCGGCATGGCATAGGTGGCAGGGGCGGCAGCTCGTAGCTCGTAGCTCGTAGCTCGTAGGGCCGGCGCGCGCGCTCTGTCGTTGTCGTTGTCTGCGCCTCGGGGGGCGGGTCACGGGTGTATAAAGCACTGCTGCCGCCGCCGCCGCCGCCGCCGCCGCTGCTACCATACCCACCACAACCACAACCTCAACCAGTTTGCGAAACACACTATATATAAACCACGCTACGCTAGAAGATGCCGTTCCCGATCCCGCGCAGCAAACTCGGCGCTGGTAAGGGCTCGGGCTGCGTTGTGTGCTAGTTTGCTAGCTTGCTAGCTTGCTAGCATGTTTGTTGTTAGCTACAGTTACAGTCACTGTTATGTTATGTTATATTATGTTACTAGCAGGAACTGAGGAGGAGGGGAATAGAATAGAATCGCTGTTCTAGACTTGCTTTGTTCTAGATTTGGGCATTGCGTTTTAGCTTTGCGCTTTGCGCTTTGTGCGGTGCGGTGCGGTGTATTGCGGTGATAAGTGCGCTTGGCAGAGAGGGGGTGGTGGATATAGAGGGAACAAGCTTAAGCTCAGGCCTTTGGCACTCGCGAAGAAGGGCAGGATGTCTGGGGTCGAGTGTGTACAGTGCAGGATGTGGGTACGGACTGGTTTGGGGCGTGAGGAGGGAGGGCATGGAGTGTGCTTTTCGGGGTTGTGGGAGTGGAGAGATAGGCAGACAGGCAGACAGGCAAACGAAGAAGAAGACGATGTATTAAGCCCACGAAGCCGTGACAGAAGAAGCATAGCGTAGCAATCATACAGCAGCAGCAGCAGCAGCAGCAGCAGCCAAGCAACCCACCCACCCAGCCACCCAGCCAACCAGCAGCCGTGCACACAAGCGCCCGCGCCCTACCCCCCCCTCAGAGAAGCGACCAGCACCTCACCGCACACCCCCAACCCCCAAAACCCCCACCACAGACAAGCACATAGGTAGCGCACACGGCACCCCTACAACACCACGCCTACAACGTGGCCGCAACGCCGCAGCCGACGAGCCCGACCAGCGCGCCCACGCCCCACGCGCGCACGCCCTGCCCCGCAGCACTGCTCGCAGCGGGGGTGCCGGAGGCCTGGGCCGCGGCCTCGGAGCCGGAAGCCCAGGCGTCGGAGGAGGAAGAAGAAGAAGAAGAAGAAGAATCCGAGGAGGAAGCTTGCTCGAACTTGCCGCCCGAGACCGGCCAGTCGGGGGTTTTGTTTTCCTTGGCCTGGGCCGCGGACTTGGCGTACGCGGCCAGGGTCTTGCCGGAAGAGGCGTCGCTGTTGGGCGTTAGCGCGAGTGTACAGAAATCGGGCAAGAGGGAAAGCGATAGAGGAAGGAAGGAAGGAAGGAAAAAAACTCACGGCGGATTGACGACGCCCACCATGCCGCCCTGGCAATGGCTCCCCTGCGAGCAATAGTACCAGATGGGCTGCGTGTCGTTGACGGTCACAACGAACGTCTTGTCCGCCGCCTTGTCCCCCGTCACAGGCACAAAGTCCGAGTAGATGCCGCCGCCTTGCATCGGGCTGCACGCGCTGTCGAAGGATCCCTGCACCACGTTGTGCGCTTTGGGCCAGAAGTGGAAGGTTAGCGTGTCACCCTTGGCGGCGGTGGTGCTGTTGGGCCAGAACGAGAGCCCTTCTTTGCCCACGCTGATGTCGATGTTTTTGGCGGAGACGGTGGTGGTGGTGAGGGCGGCGAGCGCGCTGAGGTAGAGGGCCGTGTGCTGCATTTTTGCGGTTGGGGGAGGTGTTGTTGTTGTTGTTGTGGTGGTGGTGGTGGTGGTGGTGAGGGAAAAGCGCTGTCTCAAACAGGACTCAAAGGCGGCTTATCCGGTAAGCGCGAATGGCGAAGAAGAAGGAGAAGCAGGAGAAGCAGACGCAGAAATAGCGATTAAGAACGTAGGTAAAGCGAGGCCGACTGACAGGCTAGCTGCAGTAGGTAGTAGAGAGATGGAAAGAGAGAGGCAAGACGACTGCAGTAGACTGTAGAGCTGATGAACCAACCCGCAAACCCGCCGGCCACGCCCGCACTTATACCTACCGTAGGCACCCTCATAGCTCCTCGCAGCACCACCGCTCCTCCACCCTCGCCCTCACCCGTTCCCCAAGGGGCTCTGGCTACGGAGCCACGCTCGCACAGCTCAAGTTTCCGACCCCGCAGGCGCTTGCTCTAGGTAGCTCCTCATTGTGGGCGTGCCGAGACCCGGCTGCAGCCATGTATGCCCACCTACCTTAGCTATGCATGCACGCTCAATGCACGCAGCGCGCAGCACGCAAGCGCAGACCCCAGACCGCATACCGTACCGTAGACGTCGCGCATCCCCGCTCCGGCGTTAAGCTTAACGCTGAGCTTAATGGATGTTCAGATGGAGATGCGGCGCCGTGTGGTGGTGGTGGGGGGGGGTTACGGCTCGCCTAGCTCGAACCCGCGACGTCAGAGCATTGTCGCGGGTGTGTTGGAGGTTGGAGGTTGGAGGTTTGCGATGCACGCACGGCCCTGGCGGGGAGGGGCGAGAGTGACCTACCTAGGTACCTTGGTGTTGCAGCGCATTGATTGGCGAAGATTTGTGCATGCTGTGGTTTGAGATTGTCCAGGTCCTGTTATTTTGGGGTGCGGGGGAGTGCGGCTGCTGGTGTTGGAGATGGCGGCGGTCGTGGTGCGTGCTGAACAGTGGGGGAGGGGATCGGACGTTGTGGGTTTCTTGTGAGATGAGATGAGATGGTGGGATTTCCCTTTCTTCATGCGCGCATGCGGGACGGGATTTATAGTCCAACCTAGCAGTGCTGGAGAGGTTACGGACTAGTTGCTTTGATGTTGATGTCGAAGTCGATGAGATGGGATGGATGGATAGCTTCGACGTCTGTCCGTCTGTCGCCGTCCGCCATCGGCCTATGGCCTACTCTTCACCCCCAGCCCAGCCCTGAGACCTGGAGGATGGATGGATGGATGGATGGATGTGTAGCGTGCAGCGGGCAGTATGTGTTGGCCACGACGCCCCTGATCGGAAGCAGATCGATGGCACCGGTCAACAACGACAACGAATCCATAGCAAAGATAACAAAGATAACAAAAAGCATAAGTTGACGACGACGACGCAGCAGCAGCAGTAGCAGCTCGAATACACGCGATCCCTTCCCCTCTCTCTCCCCCTCCCAGACTGCCCCTCTGAGCACTACAACGGCGGCGGCAGCAGTGGCATGAACGGAGGAGCACAGCAAGCACGCAGACTCAGCCACCGAAGAGGAGGGAAAAAGCCCCCTAGGTAGTGAACAAGAGAAAGAATTATTTCGTCAAGGCGTAAGCAGCTACGTCGCAGCAAAGCAGGCGGCGATGACGACGACGAGTACAACAACGAGAGAAAAAAAAAAAAAAAAAAAAAAAAAAAAAAAAGAGTCTAGGATGGCACCGGCGACGGCACGCTTTCTTAACTACCTCTTTCTTACTTTCTTGCAC